GAGAATTTCATGCTACTTATTACTAGGGTTTCTTTAAGCCTCTCACTTCTCATTCAGTTTATTTCAGGTAGTTATAAATTTGTTAATTTGGTTAATATTAAATACAAATAACCAAGAAAAGATAAATAAAATACAGCTAACCCTTGCAACTCAATTGTTACCAAAAAAGTAATGCAAACTCCTTTTCTCTCCTTGGTACCAGTGATGCACTGAATGGCCAAACTTGCAATAATAATGAAAGTTATTCATTTTCAAACAATAGGGCCAGTAATAGAATGCTTACAAGATACGTTCCGGACAATGCCTAGGAATTGATCTAATGGGCAAGCCTTGAACAACAGCTAATATTTTTGTGAGTAGTGGGGAAAAAAAAAAATTTTAGAGTCAGACTTGGTTTTGCACCTTAACTAGTAGCGTGGTATCCAACATGTAACTGAAGAAGTAAAATCCATGTCTCAATTTTCTTAACTACAAAATGAACACAATAGTACTTAGCATTTGGATTGTTGTAGAATTAAATATAATATGTGCAATTCCTCCAACTTTGTGTCTTTTCCATTACATTATCGGCGGCCAGTGGTATTTTTACATGCTATTATTACTTCATTTTCTCAAGGTCAGGACAATATTGCTTCTTAGGGCCCCATTAATTTAATGGAAGTTATTTATGAGGGGAAAAACAAAAGCATAAACTCCAAAATTTTTAGATCCAGAAAAATCTCATTATATCATTAAATAACCCCATCAGGGGCAAGAATGGAAACAAGTATTGTTAGAATTGAAAACTAAAGTTTTATTCCTCCCTACTGTCATTGTTAAATAACCAGGGAAGATGCTGCTCTCCTACCCATACACGTGGGCATTTTATTCCCCATCTCCGTAGTTCTGTGCACTTACAATGACCTAACCCTACTGTAAGCCCTAGCCCACTTTCTACAGTCAGATTTGCGATGGAAGCAACTTTGACAATGATGAGACTGAAACTCTGGAGACTGCAGCACACTAGGAAGAGCAGCTGAGCAGAGGGACTGGAATAGGCAGAAAAATTCAAAGAGCTGTTGAAAGAAATGAAAGGGAAAGCTAAAATAATGAGGGAACTAGGAAAAAACAATAATGATGTCTTGGATTTTTTTTTAAATCATCTTTTAGAGGCAACAGGTAATGAGGGCTTTGGGGAGTGTGAATGGTAGAGATACAGAAAGCCTAGCTGCAAAAGTAAAGATCATGGGGACTGTAGCTAAGGTTGTCTTTGCTAGGATGAAATAACCTGGATCTAGTCCAGGGTGGGGAGAAATAATTTCTATATTACTTCATTTCCAATTATATCTTGGCCTCCTCTTCACCATAGCAGGCAAGGCGGGTGAAATGTTGGCTGGGACCTATGCCACACTGAAGACACTGACTATCAAAGGCCAGCCCTGCTTGATTCTGAGGCTCAGACTTAAATGCCTTTAACCATAACAACTTCCATGCAGAAGAGACTTGCCCTCTACATTGTTCCTAGAAAACTTACCCCAAATAATTTAGAAATGTAAGACAAATGAGTGATACAGTAGCCCAAGGGGCAAAAAGCACTGAGTTTGTCTCAAAATAAACTCCAGAACAAAAGAAACATCAGTCCTCCTACGCTTGATGGAAGCAATCCCAATACTCAACAGCTCCTTCCTTCTGTCCTTCACCATGTCCCTTGCACTTTTTCTCCTCTTGTTAAAACTCACACCTGACCTGTACCCGTCACTCATTCCAGCAGATGACATTGTTTTCTTTTCAAAAGAAATAGAAGTCACCAGACAACTTCTGACTTCTGGCCACCAACATGACAAATCTGGTCTGTTCATTTCCATTTTCTCACTAAGAGAGGTGGCCCCTACTTTCTCCAAGGCCAATACCTCCACAGGTGAATGAGTTTGTCACTCCTGTCCTCCTAGGAATCTTAGTACATAGATGAACATCTCACTGTCCTGTACCTGGTACTTTCTGCTAACTCCTGTCATTTCAGCATTATCAGGTCTCAGCTCAGAAGTCTCTAACAGGTATTTGGAGGCTTACTCAAAATTTCCTTCGGATGTCTCAGACGAATTTAACTCAACACGAGCAAAAGGGAACTCATCTTTTGTCTCCCATGAACTTGTTCCTCCTCCTGTTCCCTCAATGTCTCAGTCTCAGGGAAATGGCACCATAATTGACCAATTGTCTAGCTAAAAACCTCGGAATTCTCTTCAATTCTTCTCACTCCCCACAGCCAATGCATCAGCAAATTTTGTTGGATCTATCTCAAAATATATCTGTGAGCCTCACTTCTCTCCATCTCCATTGCCATGTGCTGGCTTAGACAACCATTTGCTTTTGCTTAGATTGTTATAATTAACTATTAACTCGTTCCCTGACTTCAGTCTACACTTTTTGCTATGGTCTCTGTGCTGTAGCTGAATGCAGAAGTGATTGTGCCTTTTTCCTGCTTACCTCTAAAACAGTGGTTTCCCATTGCCAAAGACCTGTCTCCTTCATAGCTTAAGCTTCTGTTCATTAGCTACGGCCACAGTACTAACTCTTTAGTCTTGTTTCTTGCCACATCCGACATGCAATGATATTGAATGTCTCTCAGTTTCTCTTCATTGCCTTGCTCACCTGTGTTTGGTCTAACTAAAATTTCTCTGGCTCCTAGACTAAATGAGTGCCTCTTTCCACCGATACTATATAGATCTGTGGTCTGTTACAAACCCATTGCCCAAATGGAAGTGAGTGGCAGTGAACTAGCAAAGCTTAATCTGCATTGAGACCTGCTTCCCATGGGGGGACATTATCACCTGAGGTTCACCTCTTGTCAGATCAGCTGCAGCATTACATTCTCGTAGGAACACGGATCCTAGTGTAAACTGTGCATTCAAGGGGGTCTAGGTTGCGTGCTCCCTGTGAGAATGATGCCTGGTGATGGAGCTGAGGTGGAGCTGAGGCAGTGAGGCTGGTGCTGGGATATGCAATTATTATGTAGTGCAAACATATGCTAATAAGGATAAGAATCTAGGTCCCTTCCCTTGGTATGTGGAAACATTGTCTTCCATGAAACCTATCCTTGGTGCCAAAAAGGTTGTACCTTGATGTTTTAGATGATATTTTAATATATTTTTCTCTAATTCTTTACTGCAGTATAAAAGCAAGAATTGTGTCTGTCTTGGTCACTCACCTGTGTCCTTCCCTTCTTCTGCCCCAACACCCTCTAGCAGGCAGGCACGCTTGTACCTTGCTTAGTGTCTGCTACACAGTACATTCTCAGTAAGAATTGTCAAGTAGATTATCTTTGAGTTGTATTATCATTTCTCCTACTGAACTCAAGACTTAAAGGTCTGTGATAATCCCAACTTGTTTTCACAAGGGATTTAAGCATTTAGAAACACTTCTTTGTCTCTGTACAAAGACCATGTGAATGTTAAGACATCTTTCTCTTATGGAGAAAAATAATATTGACTGAGATGAGAAGAGCCTTCAAGGGTTTGCTTGTTTATTATGGAACAAGAGCTAATGCAATAGACAGTATAGTCTTCGGAATTTCTACTATGGCAAACACCATTTCAAAGCGACTTGAATACTCATTAGATACAGTATTTTGCCTAATAAATCTTACAAACCTAAAGCTTGGAGAAGAAACCTTCACTGTCATTTTGGACTGGTTCCTAGACACCATCTGGGGATTTAGTCTGCAATCTTGCTGACAGTCATTGCCTAACTGGCTGGAGACCCTTCAGGAATGGGAATCCTTTGCTGATGAGGCCATTTGCCCTCTAGGAAATGTTTTAGTGCTGTATTATTTTGTTCTTCCATTCCCCTTTCCCTTCTTTAACTGACCATTTCTCTTTCATTTCTACAAGTTGATCCTGCACTTCAGTTTAAGTCTGCACCCTAAAAGGTTTTACATTTCTGAAGGAAGGCTGGGGATTTAGCTCAGTGACACCATGCCTGTCTCACAAGCGCAAGGTCCTGAGTTCGACCCCCAGTACCAGAAAAAGCAAACAACCCCTTCCCCTCAAAAAATCTGAAGGAAGTAAGTAGTGCAGGCAAAGGCAGATAACTTCCCGCGCGCCTTGAGTTTCCCAGCTCAGGGTGGACACCCTTTCTCTTACTTTCCTAGCTCTTTAACCCATCTGGTAAAATAAGCATTAATAGCATTTTACTCAGATTCAGGAAAAACTTGCTGCATGTGGCTATCTAGGGTTAAACCCATTTTTTTTTTTTAAATTAAAGGTTGTGAGATAAGAACCTTGGGTGCTAATTTATCTCTGTTAATGAACACTCGCGTGGAATTGGTTCCTTTTTATTATTTCTAAAATTTGGAATAAGATTATGATTATCCTAGATAACCTCAGAATTTTTGACAATGCCGTCTTTAAAAGCCATGTTAAAGAAAGTCTTCTTACTACATGAACATATTGTGGCCTTTGAAATCAGACCCTAAAACATCCCTCCAAAACATCCTATTGCTCCTTTAAAATGAGAACTTCTGTCTTAGAAATAATTCAAACTATCAACACTACAGCAAGTCCTAAGCCATCAGGAGACTAAACAACCTGAATTAAAATAACATTGACTGCCATGGTGAGGCAGGCAGGAGTAATTTCGGGTCAAATTTTGATGATTCCTACAACAAACCACTTTAAGGATTTACTAACATTCCAAAGTCAGTGTTTGGAAATTCTCAATGAGTAATTCACTGAGATAAGTGTATTTGGGCTAAAATAGTATTTTATACTGTATGCATAAAACTTGGTTTTGCTATATTTGTGGGCATTTAAAAGGCTGAGGTTGAAAACAACTAATTAATTTAAATATGTCACCAAACAACTATTCTCAATATATTCCTTTTTAAATTAGTTTTATGGATAAAGTTTAAACAAAGTCTTAAACACTGCACAGACCTCGAGGAATACCTTTGAGAATACTGTAACACAATGTAGATTCTTTTGGGTTTCCATTATTTCATGGTTTTTTTTCTGTTCTTTTCTCAGGTTTTCCAAAGTACTTGTAATTCAAGTTGAACACATTAACTCTGTAGACATTTGCCTTAGTGCACTTTTCCCAATGATGAAAACTGCCCTGAAAATCCTTTCATACCCGGAAATCTACTTATGTAAAAACAACAGGTAAATATTTAAAAAATAAAGCTATTGTAGATAATAAAAGAAACATCCCTAAAACACAAATATTCCTAGAAAAAAAATGAAAATAAATGTGCCACGGTGTTAGCAAGAATCATTTTGGATGATGAGGTTATGGGTGACAACATTTTTCCTTTGGTTTTCCTAACTGTCCTATTTTCAATGATAGAGATATGTTACTTTTACAACACCGAAGCTTTATCTTTAAAAAGGCAGTTGTAGCTTCAGTAACGAAATGTGATCTCAGGAGATGTGCAGCCTACAGAATGCTAAACAGAGACCCGGAGGCGTCTGTCGGCTGATTGCAGAAACAAATGGTAACTGGATAGCCAGGTCCACCTGGTGCCTAACTCCATCGCAGCTCTGCTGATCACAAATACAACTCCAAATATAGTGACAGGCCTTTGGTACGGGTTGTGTCTAACTCCTGGGGGAGGTCAGCGCCTTCCCAAACAACTCAGAGGAATGATTTTGGTTTCGACCTGAAAAGGCAGTTTAGTTTATCTAGGCTAGTTGTTTTAAGGAATACATTTACTGTTCAGAGCATAACAGAATAAAAAAAAAATCTGCCTACTTAAAAAATTAATCAGGCTTGTTAGTTGTTCAGTCTTAACTTAAGCATGTCGACAGAAATTACATTAGAGAAATTAGGGAAATGTTGGCCCACATTTTCAGAAGATTGTTAGGTTCTTACTAAGACTGTAGACAGATCCTACTAAGTCTAGAATAGTGGGCACAAACTGACATTCTAGTGATATTTACTTAAAGATTACTTGCATTAGTCATCTAACAAACAAACAAACAAAGAAAACCCTCTTAAAAATTTATAGTCCTGTTATGGTTGTGCACGCCCATAATTCCACCTCTCAGGAGGTTGGGCCAAGAAGATTGCTACAAGTTTGAGGCCAACCTGTGCTACATAATGAGTTCAAGGCCAGCCTGGAGTACATAGTGGGACTCTGTCTAAAAAGTCAAAAAAAACAAACTAAATAAATAGAATTTAAAAGATCTAGAAATGTAGCTTAGTGGTAGTTATACCCAAATATACCCAAAGTCAAACACAAACTTTGGACAATTTCTATTTTATTCATTTCCTCATCCATCAATCTACTCATTTATTAATTTAGCAAATATTGTTTGAGAGTATTTTTTATGAAAGGCGTAATCATAGACATTCAGGAGTGTATCAGAAGACAAGCACAAAAATCTCTGATTGTGGAGCTCATGTTTACAGCACCAAGGAGACTGAAAGGACAAATAAACAAATAAGACACATAATATGTCAGATGGCTATAAGTGTTTTGAAGAAAAATAAATGCAGGTAGGGCATTCCACATGGGAGGGAGGAGTGGGGAAAGATGTGGTATTTTGATTAGGGTGGTCAGGAAGGGTCATACTGTAGCATAACTTCATTAAGGGATATACAGTAGTTGCTTCCAGATGACTTTAATAATCCCCTTTCAGCAATAATTTGAGCAGCAAAGTCAGGATAGCATTGATCCAATGGTTCTGTTACTTTTACTGCATACTCGAAATAAGATCTTGTAAGATCTCATAAGTGTAAGATCTTTATCTCTACGAATGGTTCCTTTGGCACAAAAAGCATGGTTCTTTTACAGAATGAATTGAGGATAAACATTTTTTTCTTGAGTTATATGCTTCATGTACAGAGTCCTCAAATCTTACTCTTCCATAGTCCCACTGAATGAATGTGATCACACATGTGGACATTGGTTGTTTTTTTTCCCATTCATTCATTTGTTTGCTTTCTGAAGCTGAGTGCAAGCCCATTGAAGGTATGGCTGGGACGACAATTTGTTCATCTTGGCAGCCTCAGTGCCAAATCTAGTGTCTGTGATTGCCAGTGGAATAAACAAAATTGCAGAGCAAAATGGATGCTGACTTAAAACACTTATGGGGTGACTCTGATGGCCTCATGTGCCCACTCAATTGTCTGAAGTGGATAAACGACCCCTCTGCCTGCCCATGTCCTGTATGGAACTAGCACTAAGGACTCGCTCTGTAAAATAAATCATTGGTGTCTCCCCAACAGGGCAATTGCAGTGTAAGAGATGAGAAGGTTCTCTTTCCAGGCCCATTTTCCTGTGACAGTGCAGTCCAACACAAAAGGTTGTCCCTGTCCCCACATTTTCCTTCTACCCCTCTCTTAGATCACCTAGACTATAGCCCTTTCCTGAGATGCTAGGGAAGAGTGAAGTTCTTCACACTAGACTTGGGAGAAAACGTATAGCAGTGT